CGACGTGGATTTCTATTCCACGTTCGGAAACAATAAATGAACGTTTCACGTAGATGCACCTGCTGCACGTCCATCGGATAGACATGTACGGGATTTCGAGAGGGAATAGAAAGCCAGACAAATGGTTTCGCACAATGAAAAGTTTTCATTATTTCTTCGTTCAAAAAGTGAATCCTAAGAGAGGATTTTAAGAATACTAAGTAAAAGCTAAAAAAAATTCTAAATGCAATTTTCAAACAAAAATTTTTTTACGCATATCTCTCTCGCCCCACGCTTATACTAAAATATAATAATAACACGTTCAACCTAAAATCTTCATATCCTCTGTGTACGTGTAAGAAATACAAAAATTCCGACTTATTCACCCCCATGAAAAACCACCCTTATTAAAATCGCTCAGAATACGTCTGGAAAGTGGGTAATAAATTTTCAAGTAAAAATAAAAAATATTTTTCAAATTTTTTTCGTTTCTTTTTTTTTGAATTTCCTGTAAACCAGTCATAAACGGTATAAATGCTTAATCGCATGGGGTCTGTATATACTAAGGGTTGCGATTACGTGGCAATTATAATACGCGACCACCTCGAATTATCGTGAACGGCGTGGGATCTGTCGACGAGCGACAATGAGTCATGGAAACGGGCCGAAGGGTTGTATATCAATTCGAATCAGGTATTGAACCTGAAGCGGCTGTTATCGCGCGAACACCTGCTTTCGTGAGATACTGCACAGTATTCGGCATGTGGACAATTGAGGTGCTAGGTACACGAAGGGGTTGATATAGTTAGGGAATCCTGGTATTTACCAAGCAACCCCTTAGTGCCAATTCTCATAGGTAATATTAAACTTTCATTGTCGCCCTCGTGCAAGGTGGGATTAAACTGGGGCATTTACTTTTTGAAAGCACTGTACTTTCATTCAAAGAAATTTACAATGGGATTCAAAAGTGCTAGAGTCACTCTGTCCTCAATCCTGTATTATCAATGGACGCTGTTATCACTGGGCAGAATTTCTAAAGACCTTCGCGACCCTTGATAGAAATTTCAAGAAACGCGTTAAATACGTTTATAAAAAATTATGCAAAAAATATATTTTTTTTTTCAAAACTTTCTTACCGCCATATTTAATTAGGCATTTTCGAAACAGACGATAGCAAACGTTTTTATAATTCATTAATATCCACGAGGCAACAATTTTCCATATGAATTTACCAGGGGCCTGGGTTTGCCAATTAGCACGGTATTTAACTGTTAATGAATTATGGCCGGGTAAATTAATTTTGGGCTTGGTATAATGCTTGTGCGTACACCTAATTGCGTAAATTTAATAACAACAATGGCTCGTAATTGCATTGTTATATTTGCTAGACAAGACACGCGATAGATTCACTCAATAATGCATGGTAGAATTCAAAACCATGTTTATTGCATGAAATTCTAGCTGACATATCCCTCCAATAACGTATATGAGCATTAACGTATAATACAAAGAAAAACGCATGAAAAATTAGTGAATTTCTATAAGTTTTCTATTAGTGAAGTTCTATAAGTAAGTTTCATCTAACTTTGATAATAAAAAATAATTCAGCCTCCCTATAATTACTAATTAGCATACATTACACATTAGGAAATGTGGTCAAAGGAAATTTGTATGAACAGCTTCTGCACGATTGTGCAGTCGTTTCTACTGACAAACAAATCGTTGGAATAAATTCGTCTAATGGCATTGATAATTTCAAATTTTCCCGCTTAACGCAAATTACAATACCTCCCACAGTCTCGTGACTATTCTATCAGTGCACAGGGTTTAATCAGACATTTCGACTAAACTGATAACATGAGAATGGATCACAAAGCAATGCTGAGCGGATGGCGGCTTTATACTCCCATAGGCCACATGAACTGACGTGTTTCCGCTCAATTTCCATGTGCAGTGGGTATATGCAAATGGGAGGACAGAAGACGTGAGAATAGACAAACAGTAGGACGGACGGTAAGACATATGAAGTTTCCAAGATAGTGGGACAAATGGTGATGAACTTTGAACTATGACGTGTTTCCAACGTATTTGATTGTTAGGCAACGAATTCTCGAGTTTCGATATCCGGTATAAGAAGTGACGTGAAATTCTGAGTATTCAGGTAAACGTGAGAATCCTAGGAAAGACACAGGCGAGGCCAGCTTTGACTGACTGGTGCTTACTACTAGGTAGTAGGTATTGGCCTGGCTATTGATTACAGCCCAAGTCCACCCCCTCGACAGGTGCGGTCGGCTGACGATGAAATTTGTTCCGTCAGCAACCCTTGCTTCGTACCCACTTATACATTTTTTGTGTTTCTCCCTTCCGCCATAACCTTTGGCTTGCTTCCTATTGACGGCCACGTCTATTGAATTAGGGTTCCTGTGGGAGAAGATATAATCTTTTAGGTTGTATAGAATTTTAGTGTTACTTTAATGATTATTAGTTAGAAGGATTTATAGGGGGTGTAGGTAAGTAAAGGTTCATGACAATTTCATGGGTCGACTGTATACAATGTCTTTTTTTTAATGGAAGAGGACTCGCGTTGGTAGTCAATGTAAAAGATGACAGAATGTGTTAAGATGGATTTTAAAATTTAATTTCATGGTTCAATGAAAATATTCACGTGCTGTCGGTTCTCCGTAATGCGGGGACTAAGCTCAGTTTTGACAAGGATGCACTTTAATTACGTGTCACAAGGCTTTTCTGAACGCTGATTACATAGTTTTTGTGAATATGCTGACTGAGGGAAATTTTGAAGTTTGTATGGTGTTTATTACTCGCGTTTAGATCGGTAATATATATTCGTCTTTACTTCTATTACTTATTCGAGCAATATGTAACGTGATTCATAATTGGTTTATATTTTTTCCAACAAAAATTGTTTTCAGAAATTAAAAACGTTACCCCATCGTACCACCCTCAAAGATCTCACTAAAATGTAAATGAATGGCCGGAGAGCATTCCGTACCTTACTCTCGTCGACAGAATTTAAAGGAGAAACAAGTTTAAAAAATATCCTGAAATTTAATTAATCACGGTAGAAAAATTCTGATGTGAAAAACAAAGATAATTAAATGACAGCCGCGCATGCCTCAGGCATCCAATGGAGTCGGCATTCGATAAAAAAAATAAATCGAAGAGAGACATTTAATATCGATGATTGTATCTAAGGAAGAAAAAAAATTATTTTTACAATGATAATTAAAAAAGTAGAATTAACCAGGGAAGTTTAAAATCTAAGATTTACAATAACGGTTAACGCTAATCTCTTTCGAGCCTTACCCAAAGTCCCAAATGGGGTTTGTTTGAAAATTAGCTTAATTATCCGTTAATGGAGTGCACAGTCGGTAGCGTGTAGGAGCTAAGTGCATTTTAATCGAGTCCTCGTTCTCGCCCGATATCGGGTTGGTGCTTGGTTTTGTATTTCAGGTACAATTTAACTGAATTCAATCTAAACTGAAAAACATATATCGTTCTTTGTCCCAAGATCCACGTGCCTCGAGAAAACATGACTTCCACTCGACGCTGGAGTGCCATTAATTACCAGAGAATAAAGAGGAAAGTGTCGAGGCAGGTCGCCATAGACGCTGATAACTACAGTCTCGGTCGTTGCACCCAGAATTGCATTTCATTTCGAATTAGCTTCATTCATCTGGATGCGCATTACCGTAAAGATATAATATGGCGCCATCTGCGCTTACATCAGTAACGCCAGACAGGGCAGCCATCTTGTCACATTCAACGTCTGTGTCACTTGTTACGCCACCGTAACTTCTATGCTAGGAATTCTCGTATCAGATCCTTTAATTATTATAATTAGAAATGGATAACTTCGTACCCAATATGGTGGCTGGTACTACTGGCTTCGATATCGAACTTCTGGCAGCCTCCCTTCGACTTTCCTCTTTTGGTAGTTACCAACGTTATTAGATTTCTCTGGCGGATTCAATCGATAATTCTATAATTGGTGCAGATGGTGTAATATTTCGAAATTACACGGACTCTCCGCAGAATTGACATTTTTCATTTTCTTTTACTAATGACATCCGCCTGTCTGTCTCTATCTGCCTTATACTTTGACATTCTCTTATTATATGTATAAAGACAGGTATGCTTGACATGGACATAACGAGAAATTTGAGTATCAGCAACACGGCGAAATTCTTATTATCAAATATATAAGGTTGCAGTTTTGATATTCTTCAACCTTAGTTATTTGCTTTATGCTTAAAGAGAGCCGAGTCTCACGCCATCAAATTATTCGGATTTAATAGGACGTCTTTGTTAGTTAATTACATTAAACTCCTCGTCGAGATGACAACTGACTTGACTGAAATAAGGTTAGAAAACTTACAGAATTCAGGAGGATCGTCACTTCCAGCGCTGTTTATTCTCAGGTCTTCCCTCACAGTTTCCAGAATCGTCAGACTCGAAATTAACCATCGTTACGATAATCCGTGCTCACGATAAATTCACCCGTGACTAATAATAGTATATGTATAGTTAATATACGACAAGACGCTGCAACACGTCAGCCTTCTGGCGACAGCTGCCGAAGTTGCTAGAAATTTATTCTTTATCCCAAGCATGAAAACTTTCTCGCTTTTCCACTTTTCTCTTCTTCGCCATTACCTTTCTTTTTCTTTCCTTGCACTTCTATTTGTCGAGCATCCTCGTGCTAAAGTACACCGAACTATCTGTACTATCATGCTATACGATACTACGTACTGCGTGCTCTGTGGCTCACTAGTCTTGAGTTACGAATCTGGCCGCTTCGACAGCTGTGGCGCTGAATGCGCTTCGTGATTCAGTTTAACGGCTGTGCTGATTTTTATTGTCTCCGGGAGTTCCGAGATTTTCACGTTATGTCGATGATTAAGAATACCTCGAAAGCCAGGATCTCGTTCGTACCTCCTCGGCACGTACGTCCCGTACGACTTTATTTACTTGTTCCGCAACGTCCGGGCGAATGAGAAAGTTCGTGAGATTGCAGTATTTTCTTGGACTCCATCCGAAGGCTGATTGCATTTCGAAGTTTGGTACCATGTTCTTTGGAGTGTAGTGTGTACTCATTGTCAGCTTAAAAATACGTATCGCGTCTGTCTCGTTCGGACACATAGCGTATAGAATATCAAGGGACAATATCAATTCCACCTTACAACAGTGGTTCTGCGGTCGTTCAATTTCAACAGAGGGTAACGAAATTTCAAGATGTCAGCAGCGAACTGCCTATTACATTCTCTTGGGTTGAAAGAAAGACGGAGATGAAAGGAAAGCAGGTGAGGAGGAGTTTCATTAATAATGCAAGACAGTAGAAGCCCAGAGTAGAGTAGAGCTCGAGATACATTCTGTAATTATTCTTGTCGGCCCGAGGAAAAAGAAAGAGGAGAAAGGACAATTATTTATAACGAAAAATACACCATCTGGCCTGACTAGAAATATCATTTTTCCAAAGAATTATGGCAGAGCGTCCTTTCCCTAAAGTTTCCTTTGTCAGTAGCAAATAGAGAAGGGACAGAAAATTTGTGGCTATGCAATTAAGATCAATCCCGAATGATACGTAACATAACTTCTTTAACTCTATTTAGCATAATCATAAATTACACTATTAGGGAACAATTCACAGATGTCAATAGCCGCGTCGCGTGAATTCAGTGCTGAATTTATCCCATGATAACCCTCGTTAACCACTAGGACCAGTAACAAGCAATTTATACCAGAACATTACATTGCAGAACGCTTCTCATTAATTCTCTAGTGGACAAAGTACCACAGGAATATATCGTGTATTGTTATAATACATCAATGCAATAACAGGTCGGCAGAATTCTAAGAAGCAAGATCCATTCGCTTTGGCGGTCGTTTGTTATATTTATATACCGCACAAATCAAATTTAATAACCCACAGTTGTTTCTCGCTCTCGTTGCTAATCCAATTATTTCAAACAGTCTGTCACGTAAAAAATAGATAGGTGCCGCTTCACATGTGGAATTGTTGAGATGAAAAAGAAAAAAGAATATCGTTTTACCACCCGTACTAAGTTGCCAGTTTGCGACGAGCAAACAACAGGAAAACCCGGAAATTGCTTTCAGCCAGCGAAGAGGCACTATCATTTCACAGTATGCATCGTTCTGCGTACTGAGTCCTCTTTCGCATATGGTGTATACATATATGTGTACTATAGAAGGTATATATAGCATATATTATATCGTACGGTACGTGTCCATGTAAACGCAGTCTCTACAATTCGGGCGCAGTACTTCACTTTTAATCTTTTTTTTATCTGTTTCATCCAACAGTTTTACCGAACCCAATATTTATATCTTTACAGTAGCGATAAAACCCTTTTTTTTTAATCCTCGCAGTGTCTTACATTCCTTTGTAAAAAAAATTTTTTTATCTTTTCAAAATTTTAAAAACTTCAAAAATGATTTTTCCAAAGACAACTCCGTTCTATTTTCACTGCTTGCTCCAGTTCCTGTATTTCTCTCATATCCCAAGGGTATGTGATGTGCTTTTCAATGATCGCACCGAACACGTCGGACAACCGCTAATTTTGCGCTGACTGTTTCGTGTTACGAAGGATTCTCGTAACGAGTCCGCTGTGTCAACTGCAATTGTGCAGCACGACTCGAATTCGTGAGCTTTACAATAGCATGCATACTGCAACAAATTCGAAGGACGTATACCGAGCGTGGAATTGCACTCAGCTTGTACGATCAGAATCGATAACCCGACATTTGTCAACTGATCGAAAAGCCACGTGATTTGCTTAGCAACGACTACGCGCAATTGGACAATTTTTTAACGGGAGTTCAGGACAATTATTTATTATTAATTACAAAATTAAACTAGAATCAGCCCTAATTACGGTTTACGGTCTTTTTTCTATTTTTTTTTGCGTGACAGTGCTCACTTGAAGGAGACAGACAATTCCAACTTTAAAGCAATCCTCGTGGGATTGTAAAATGTAATATTATTTTATAGGATCTTCGGTAACTACTGGCAATCTCGTCTGGCTGACCGATTACTGGTATTTTCTACTGCCGTCTTTACAGAGCATATATAGATATATTTAAAAGCCGACAGTACCTACTATCTCTTAGTATAAACTTTTTGTCTTGCGTTCTCTATCGCTATGTATCTCTTGATCCTTTTTCTTCTCGATTTCTACTTCCCGTATCGTACGTTACGTAACGCTCTTGCACTAACTGTAACTTTAAGCAATACTATAAATCGCCTTGCGGCATGTATGTATTGAATTTGTATCCCATAGGATCCGAAGAAAAATGGTAGGACCGATTGTAGTTTTGAAATTCGCCGCGAAATAATATATATATTTACACCAGGCCGATATGAATTCTGTGAAGTTTTAAGAGAAACAACGGCAAAGCTCATGAGTCGGAATTTGCTAAACATCCGTTAAACTGACGTGGTGGTATCTTAAGTTGGGTCGGAATAGGATAGACTTACTGCGGTGAGCCAGTACGTACTGTTCAAAGGGATACGTTAGTTTTGAAACAATTAATCTTGCCGTCCATTGAATATGTGAAGGTTTAGGCACGGAACCTAACCTAACCCAGAATAATCTAGGAATCTAAACCAACCAAAATGTATTGGGTTTAATCGGCATTAAACTCAGTTGCGTATGAGAATAATTTCGGAATTGAAAATTTATTACATTTTTATAATTAATTCAGAATTTAATTCACTTATTAAAAAATTCACCTTGGACTGACCGGGGTTCAATGAAATTATCTGACTTCTAATTCTAACCCAATATAAGCGTAAGAAGCACTAACATTCCGGTTTCTTGATTATTGGTCAAGGTGAATTTAGATGATATCGGTGGTAATAAAAAATGAGGAGAAAAAAAACGAATGCGGAGGAATAATCGAAGAGAAGGAAGTTCATGCAAACACATACGGCAAATTACGGCAGAAACGGAATTTCTTATGTATTCGCCCTTTGCCGGACGACCGAACAATAATTAATCACAGTGTCCGTTGTAGGGTTACGACGATGGAACCAGTGGACCGCTGTGCGTCAACCAGGATGCTGTGGGCAGCCGGCCAGAGGAAACGAGGGTGACCAGGACCAGGACCGACGGGTAAACCAGGATGGTCGGAACGAGACCTGCAGGAAACGAGGACCATGTCGAGGTAAAGGTGGATGAGTAAATTCAACGAGCCTCCACGTCCAATCAATCTTCATGGAAAACGTGGGACTTCTGTCAAGTGATTTCAACATGAGATTCCAGACCCCAGAATGTGATCATTCTTTGTAGAAAATATTTGGACACCTTCAGAAACCGCCAACACAGGTATCACAGTATTGCTTCAATTACGTGTACATCAGTTTGTCCTTAACTTTTTTTTTTTATTTACCAGGTAAACGATGAAGCCTCAAGACACTCCTCGTGAAAGCTCCTGGTATCCTCAAGTGATTCGCTGATGTTATTTCAGTTAACCTTAGCCTCCCCCTATTCCATTCTTACCCCCTCAAAAAGCTCCTTAAGTCGAACTTACTGCTCTCGCATAATTTAATTTCACGTCTAAAGCGTTAGCACAGCGAACATCATTTTCCGTGTATATCACTGGTATCACGAGAAGTATATTTTGAATTTCATACCTAAAGCCGCGAAAGGCTTGTCACTGAATATCTCTGCCAAATAGTCGCATTCTGAAATGAATTTTACTGGCAATCTGAATCGTCGAAAAAAAAATATATAATGCTAATAATTATCCATATTTGTTTTCGTGCCTATAAATATTTACGCGCTCACCAAAACATATGTTAATCCCAGTACCCGTGTTATCGGTAACTCTCAACTCTTTATCGCGATTCCCGTGAGTGAACGAAGGCTGAACAGAAGTGAATGACAGAGGGGGTGTATGGCAATTATAAAAAATTCAATGGTTCGTTATGAATACAAATCGTGACATTAGGATTCAAAGTGCGAGGGTCACCAGGGAAAATGACACGCACAAGCGATCAACGGCCATGCACTAGTCAATGTGCGTATCACGAATCTAATGTGAGCGCACTGAGGTGTGCACAAGTAAATCTACTATACCTATATCGTAATTCTAATACAGAGAGCCTAGAATCCCGGAGTAATTCAAGGTTCGAATAATTAATTAATCGGCGCCAGAGCGTAAACAGGCATGAACTATTAATCGTAAGTAGATGCATCAGACATGTGTATATATAATCGCAAATATTATTATCGTACAAGTAATACACCTTTATGAAGATAATTATCATTAAGTAACAATTCGATAAAATATGCTAGATGTAAGACAAGAAAAAAAATGTACTTAGCAATGTTACACCTATTGAACACATGTAATTATGCATAGATAGTGTCCCTTGGCGGCCGTTACCGTGGCTAAATATCCTAATGGCTATTTAGCTTGATTTAAAAGATTTTAAGCTGAATTTATCAAAAGACTGTTCGACTGTCATATTCGGTAGCGATGCGTCGACGCGAGGCTGCCGGTATACTTAATGTGGTACAGCACTCCTGACGGAAGTAAAGGGAGAAATAGTAAAAGGGTAGTTGAAAGGGTAGTCGTAAATGGGGTAGCAGCTGCCCTTGTGCGTAGCTGGAACGATATACCATATGACTGTGGTTCTTGAATATTTCCTCATGGTGGCGCCACCGGTGCTTAGGAACAATTTTACATTGTGGACCGATCGTCGTATTATTTTATAATTGGAGGTAGGAACTCTAGAGAGGAGCAACGTCCTAGGGAATTATCTAGTGTGATTCTAACTAGAATGATTATCGATACGATGTTACATATATGACGTATGCATGTATAGGCGTACAGTATGTAAGCAGAGACACACTGTGACGTATCTATATTCATTCAGTTCCTGTGCCTTACTCTCTCGTGATTGTCCCGTTGGATTAAATCCTAGTCTAGTTTCTAACAGTGCATAGTACATACACCCCTAGCAATCCCAACTAGTATTATAGAGGGACGCAAGATACTGTATAACGTATAAGGTAGACGGGAATCACGTACGAGAATATTTTATAAAACTTTGTAAATTGAATGCAATTTGCAAAGTTTTTTAAATTACCCGGGAAATTGGAAGGGTAATTCACATAAACCCACGTGACGTTGTACCCAACGTTAACAACACATGACATAACCTATAATGACAGTTGGAATTGCAATGATTCATCTAACTTTAATGGCGAGAGTCGGACGTCATATAAATAAAATAAGTGAACGTCAAAGGCAAAAAAGCTCGTACGCAATGTACGAAAAAAATGAAAACTTTTTTTCTTTTCAAGTTTCAAACATATGACTCAAGTTAAGGTTGGGTTATATATATTCAGATTGTGAACTTGCGCTTGTCACTGCTCATCCGTAATCTAACCTAACCCAACGTAACCTCACGTGCGTATATATATAACTCTGTATCTTCTCTATCTCATTCAAGCTTTATAAGCTCCCCGTTCAGGTTTAAGCTTTGAACCGCCTCCGCTCCTCGTTTCGTCGAAAGCTTTTACCTACGCTACGTCATAATCCTACAGCATGTAAAATCGGCTCTGGCTAACTTCGTGTAACTTCGTGTACCTACGTACGCCTTCGTATTAAACGAGGTGCGAGGATACGCAGACTCCGCACCGGCGGTATACGTCTCGCCTGTGACGTTTACTCGTGATAAAAAATTCGTAGGATCACGATTGATAAGGGCGGTATAGAAAACTCGAAGATAAACGATCGGGTTCGGGTTGATCCTCGTGAATTTTCTGTATAGGACAATGAGAGAGTGACCTTAGTCATTGGTCAAATTTATTGGATCCTTCTGGACGGTGCGGTGCGCTTACTATTAGGGGACCGACAGGAGGGGGTAAGGAATTTGTAGTAGGGGAGCTCGCGTCCAATCAAGAGACAGGATTGACATGGGCTCCTCTCCCACCTAACTTCTCCTTCGTATCCCCACTATATTTCTTCTTCTTCTGTCAAGGAGGAGGAGACCGGAGCCAGCACTGATAAAGAGTGGCGAACATCCGAACATGGTCCACAAGCAGAGGGTTCTTTGGCGAATCAATACCGCTGGGTACTAAAGGACGCCGAAGACTTTGTATCGCACTGGAATATACTATATCAGGATGGTTAACCGTACAAGGATGGACTTTGACATCCTTAACTCGAGCCACCTGAGGTTGCTGGTACTGAGGATGCTGCTGCTCCATCCAAGTCCCTGGTGCGTCTTTCACTTGGAGAAATTAAATTACTGTCAACCTCTGACTATCCCATTATCCATTATCTCGGTTAGTCCTGGATGAGCCATTGTTGTCCTGGACCATCACCAGCATCCGGCTCAAGTGTTTCTCGTTACCATCTTTTATTCTCAAGCGAGAGACCCGCGTTACCGGATACAAGAATTGCGCCGGTACCTTTCGATGCTCAATGGAAACTAATATTCGGCAAGCTTCACTTTGAAGCGTCCCAAGATTAAAGCCGGGACAGTCATACTGTTCAGAGTCCCAATATTTTCTGTGTGTTTTGTCTTTTACTTTGGGTTCACCTTCTTTTTTTTTTATTTTAGTTCACGTACACATCAGTTTCGTACCGGCTGAGAAGTTATATGACGTCAACATGAGAACGAGGTCGAAGGCGGAAAATTAACCCTGTACCGAGTTCGATATTCAGCTTCAATTCCCCGAAAAATTCGCTGTATGACGTACGCCGGATTATGAGAAAAGTTTACGCTAGATGGCAGTCCAATAGTTGCCTATCTTATGTGCAACTGTATGTACGTGGAGTCTATGTAATATCTGCATATATGTACAAGGGGTCGGTGGTTACAGGGCGAGACTAAACCCTCTCTTCGCGAAGCCATCGAGTCCACCCAAGCCCCCCGAAGCAGACAACTTCACTTCACTCAGAGTTCATATGAAGTTTGATAAATCGAGTGGCGCCTCTCGCGGCTGAGTCACGTACTATAAATATGTGTACGCTTACTGCAGACGTATCTACTTACGCGAAAGTCCTTTTCACGTGTATCCCTGGCGTATTCGAAAGCCTTTGAAGTTTCTCGCGATAGCTTGGATTTAAATTAATGATACGAGGGATAAAAAATAATGTTGACACGGCATATGTATGGGCTAGACATCGTTGCCACGGTTCTCGTTTACGATCAGTTACTTGAAATACGTATCGTACTGTTTTCTGCTGCGCTTGAATTTTCCTCACTTCCCTTTTGTCGCGTAATGGCGCAACTCTGCGATTTCTTGCCCTCGGTACGTCGCCGGCGCAACCTTATCCGTTTCATTGAAATACGAGCTCAGAAATCCCTAGGGTCCTACACTGCATCCCCTTACTACTCGGCCATTCCAGCCCACTCGTTCCACTACGACTCCGCCGCTCGTTTCATTCTCTTTAAAAGGGAAAAACTTTTCTCGCTACTCGATTCTATTTATTTACCAACCGTTCTGATCATGGGAGCCCACTCCATAACTCTCAACCTTCTACCGCTTCCTTTTACCCCGGTTAACTTCCTGTTCCTGTAACTTTAGCAAGTATACATGAATCGTTTCGAAGCATGGCCAGAGTAAGGAATAATGTTTACACCGAAAAACCCTTGTTTTTAATCCTTAAAATTATACCGTGCAAATTGGACTCGTAAAATTTTACCAATATTTATAATAATATCCACCATCACGCGATAGTACCGCGTGTACGGAGTGACTAGAAATTAAAAAATTTAGTATTGATAAAAAAAAATTTTCAAAAAATTTTCAAGTTTCATAGCGGCACTGGCGAACGAAAAGGACGACGCTCGACGTCAGCAGCGTTCGTTGTGATAGCGCCTTGAGATGGTCTGGCAAGAAGTGGCAGAGTGAAAAATACGTGTAAGTGGGAGTTAGTCGTTGGATTCGCAAGCTACAGTTTGCCCGTGACGAGATCGCGCTGGACTTTTGCGCGCAGAATCCGAATCCGCAGTGATAAGGGTGAATTTCCTGTAGGAAATGGCTATGACGTAAGAGGGATCAAAGTGACATTTCTTACCGACCCTGACAACCCCATCTCGTACTAGCAACCTGTACCAATCCTCCACCTACTTTTGGTTTATTCATGGCGCTGTGGCTAGATGAATCTAATCGTTTGGGCGTACCTATAACGAGCGAACACGAATATCGATAAGAAAACCAATAACCGCGTTACGACCTTTTGAAAACCCAACAAAATTCTGGGTGTTGATTTGTAATTATAATTTTGCATTAGTAAACATTCTTGCGGCATCGGATAATCAAAATTGATTATTGACGATACAATTTTATCAGCCTATTCTGATACTCATTGACATCTCGGATAGGCAAGATGAATATTTGTTTTATATTAAAAAATTTCTTTTTCAATTACGACAAATCCATTCTCAATCAATCCCCGTTCGGGATCAGCAATTACGTCTAAATTATAATTTAACCAAAATTCCAAATCAATAATCAACATCAGCACGCATAGCTGTCAGTTTAATGTCCAAGAAAACCTATCATACAAATCGCTAAATTAATCGTATTAATAGCAATTAATTTCTTAGTCAATTAGCTAAATCAAATCCTACAAGCGAAAATGTAACCCATAATACGTCACTTCCATGAATTCGCAACCTGTATCCGATCAAAGTAATACTGAAACCGGTATAATTTAGATAGTGCAATTTTCAGTAATAAACCCCATAACCGTACCGATAACAAATTTTCAATATGAATATTTACATGGAAATTTCATTTGAAAGGAAAAAAAAAACTTTACAATTTTCATCCAAAAGCAAAGTCTGCGCAGGCACTTATCCTATGCCTATACCTATATATACACACCCTTACGTAAATGCCTATCCATACGTATACAAATGCATATATGCATATCCCATCAGGCAAAGGATTTTCCACATTGTATTTACTTGGATTTTTCTCGAAAACGAATGCAGCGTTATCAGTGATACGCGCTGCCTTCCTATATATTCGTATAGTAGGTGTATATATGTACAGTACCATATAGCCATGAAAAACATTATATATACATATAGTATGCCTATATCACTTTATAGGATAAAACTAGGCCGATCCAGTGGCATGTACGATATGGGGTGAACGTAACCCAAGCTGGCTGTTCAATATACACTGTATAGATGGCTTATTATAAACAGGGGTTGTCGCAAAGGGTTCAGCCATAGGCTTGAACACGGTTAAGCCTGAACGCGCGCCTCACTTTACACCAGAGGTACGTACGTTGCTCCACTTTTTTTTATGTATAAGACCAGTACCTCCCCTGGCTGTTACACGGACGAAAAATAAATGTCTAACTTAAGGGAGAGTTTCTAATACCTTATGCCGTCGTGGCGCAGCTGCTTCGATACTTTTTCTTGATCCCATACCGTCCGCCAAGATTATTAAGATATCAGGTATTCCGGGTATGTAAAGTATGTAGCTACACACATTTTTCTTCCCCCATACTCGTACGTTCCTGCCACGTATTTGAGTTCGCGAGAACGAGATTATTCGTACGGGAAAGATGGGAAAAGTTAAGGTTGGACTTCAATTTTCGTTGAAAATGCTGCTTATAATATTTCTGAATACATTTTGCGACCGCGTAGCGAAGTTGGCTGATAAATAAAAGTAATTTTACTTTTTTTCAAAATGAAGCTGAACCAGAATCCATAGTCACCGTTTCCCCCGAGAAATCTCATCGGATGTTTGTCGAACTTGAAACGTCCGGTATAATTGACGCTGATAATCATTTTTCAAGGGTCAAAGTGCACTGCCTGGTATTTGTAGTATTCGTTGCGAAAAGCATAGCAAAATCTGCCCTGGTTGGCGGTACTGACATCGCGACCTAGATACAGGCTATTGTGCTTCTGTATTCCATTACGTCATCAGTTGCACTGCGACCACCAGTCTAGATTCTGGAAGTCTGCGCAGTTCTGGACTAACCGGTGGTGGTGGTGGTATTAGTAGTGGCGATAGCGATAGCAGCAACAGCAGTAGCAACAGTAAGAGTATTAGTAGTAGCGCTTCTCGCCCCGTCAGCCAGAAGTCCTGGATATCGGGGCCATTGCAGGGCTACGTTCTCTGATAATAATCGAACGGCCAATCTAGTCACTGGATTTAATTGATTATGGGAAAAAAAAAAAGTCTGAAGCAGCTCAGCATCTCACGGTGGTAGATGATTGGTCGCGCGACGTATATCCAGCCTCATCAATCAACTTCACGTTAATCAGTACCCGTAGGTAGACGAGGAGCACGGAGAAAGGAGAGTTAAAGTCTATCGGCTTTGCTTCGCAAAATATTTCCGTTTGGCGGCGCTGCGAGCGCTCTGTTATTATCCCCTGTTATCGCCGTCTGACTTTTGACGCACCCTTGGATTTAGGGGTTAATGGGCTGTTTGCGTGAGAGGATGAGTTTTAAAAATCTACAACACTCCTACGACTTATTGGTAGACTTACCCTCTCCTACCCTTTTTTTGTACGCATTTCAGCGGGAAATTAGGGATTCGCGCCGTCGGTAAAACAGAAAAAGCAGGGAGGAAAAATATGGAAAGAAATGTAACATTTTCGCAGAGAAGACTTCTCACCTTGTGAATGTAAAGTACATGGAAATTCCAATGATATGTCCATGAGCCCAGAGAATAGAATGGGGTGGAGGGGGGGGGGGTGAAGAAGTA